TTATTTTATTTCACTTTTTTTATTGCTTTCGATTTTCATTTCGACGGCGCGCACGTGCGACACTAAGACGAGGATGCTCCACTAAACTTTTCCACGTTGGACGGCGTAAATTTCCTTTAAGCATGATTTTATTATATACATTTTTTTCTTTTTCGTTGGGCCTGGCCGTTTTGCTCGAGTTCGATTGGGTTTGTTTTGGCTCTGCGTGAAATTCAATTTCCCACACACACAGCCAACTATGTTAGTGCCTGGCGTGTAAATAATCGTGACTCTATTGAGATATCCTGCAACCTTTTTGCATGCACATGTATTGAAAAGCCCTGCACAACAGAGGGAGAGAGGCCAACAAAAATGTAGTTTAATCGCTTTCTCTGCTTTCTGTTCTGTTATCCTTGCTGCGCCTTTCAATGGCTGCGCTTTATCAGTAGACGCCATCGACGCCGCCGATTTACTTTTCCGTTTCGCTACAGTCAGGCTCGTGTCAGTATGTGTGTGTGAGTGGCTTCCTTTGCGGCAAAACTCATGGCAAATATTCTTGATTTTTATTGCGTTCGCTCACAAGTGAAATTGCTTAAAATCTATTTGTAGATTTTATTATTATTTTTGCAGCGGCGACAGTTCCGCCTCTTTTTGCGTGTCTCCTCACAATGTTGCCGTTGTTGTTGTCGTTTTTGTTACTCTTGGCATGCCATTCCAGCCTGCAGAACAATTTGTTCCCTTTTTGCTTGGCTACATTTTGCTTTGGAGGCATTTTGCAGTTTGTGTCTTGATTTTCCGTATATATTCTTACATATATATATATAGATGTGTTTTTTTTTTCGTATATCAGATGCCGCATTCTTTTTGGGTTTATTACTTGTCTGTACTTTTCCTTTGGACTGGGTAGCGGATCTATTTAAATTCATTCAGTTTATTTGGCCACAACATGCAAACATTTGCCCCGCTTGTTCGCATTTCTTTTGTCCAAGACATTTTTGGCCTACGTATTTGTCTCCGTATTTGCTATATTTTCCTGACAAGAATTTCTGACATATTTTATGTGCATTATATCATGTCCTTGTCAGTTTTGATTGCTGCTTTGACATCAATTTATGTAGTTCAGCTCTGCTTTTTTCACATATTTTCACAAGTGCTATAATTGCCAAGCATTTGGATTTTTACTACTAGGTATTTAAATTGTGAGAAAGAGGATTTCCTTTAACCCAGGCAGAAAGAGAAATCAGCATTAAGAACATTAAAATGTGTTGAATATAAAAATAAAACGAAATATAAATCATACGCACCATTTAACAATAAAAGGCATTCGGGTATTGCCCTTCCGTCGTTACCCAATACAATGGCCCATAAACGCAACGCTTTCAATATCACTTATAATGCCACGCCCCACACCAAACCGACCGCCATCTCAGTCCGCACTTCTCCCTGCAGCCATTTGCAACGGAAATCAAGTCGCACATGCGAAAGTAAAAATTCAAACATTTTCTGAATACAAAAAAAATAAGAGAAAATAAAAATATAAAAACGCAGAGCGCAACATGTTTAAAGCGCAATTCTGCAACATTTAACATGGGGCATGCCACCGGGCCAGTTGTAAGATACTTGCCACTGTGCAAAATAGAAATACAAACTGGAAAACAAAAAGAACGAATCCAGGAACTGAGGGTCAGCTAGAAAAGAGAAAGCAAAGCTAAGGCTAATGAATGCTAAAAATCAATTACAGGAGAAAGAATGCAAGGAAATGGAAAAAGTAATTTATAAAATAAAAGTAAATATGCTAAATGTGAACAAAATGTTGCTATTGTGGCTGGTGATGATGATGATGATTATGATGATGATGGTTGTTAGCTGCAACTTTGGCGATTTCCGTTGACAATTTCACAACATTAGAAGCTTCGAAGCGTAAAATTTTCAATTGAAACAGACAACAGGCAACTGGCAAGAAGCTCTGATATATACTTGCTATTTTTATCTAGATGGAAAGCTGAATTGTCGTTAAATTTAACAACTTTCGATTTCAATTTATTTTGCTGCCACGCACTTTGAGCACCTTCTACGTATTTTCTTTTTATATTATTTTTGAGCTGATGTGGCCAAGTTAACTGAACTTTAATTGTGGCAGCTATAAAAGTGTTCGTGTATTTTAACAAACAGACGCTACTCCCAGCTATTTAAAGCTATGTTTAGCTATAAATTTACGGCAATATGCAGTTGGCAAATGTTGTTGCATACTTGCAGGCTTTTACCAGGTAAAGCGCTCTCTAAAAGTGAATTTAATATAATGACACATTTTATGATTGCATTTGCTTTCCTTACTCACGCCCCTATCCACTGCTGCCCCTGCCATGTACTGGCACTGCAGCTGGTCAAACTCACGTAGAGCTGATGGCATTAAAAGAAATGCTCAAGTAGGTTGAAGGGGGCGGGGAGAGTGGCCAAGGCATAGAGCAGAGTCAGCAAATTGTGGCATAAGGCGTTGCTAACGAGCAACGAGTGGAGGCAACTGCCCCCGCCAGGTTGCCTCTGTTCTTCTTAGCTGTCTTGTCTTGTTGCCTGTCGATGGCTGCCTGGCTGGCTGCTCGGGTTGCCGTCTTGGTCTTGTTGCACCGTCTGTGTCCTTTCCTATGTTTGTTCATATATACACAATTACCAGCTAAGGCGATTTGCAAAGCACAACACAACAACACAAGCACACATCAGGTGTGGCTACTGGCTGCACACTCAAGTGCTGTTATGCCATTGTCCTGCGCTTTGTCCTTTCGCCGCTGCCCGTTTGACAATGTTTACAGGTGCAAATTTCAAAGTGAATTGCTTTTCTATCGCTTGGAAAAGTGCTGCAACACGCAAGCATAACTAAAGCCTTTCAATTCGCCCTCTCATAGACAAGGGCCAAATTAGTTCAAGCCAAAGACACTCACACCAACACACATACGCATACACACGCACACACACGCACACACACGCACATGCACGAAGACAGGCTTTGTGGCAAATCTTTTGCGCCGCTGGGCACTTAGTAAAATTGCTGGAAAAGCTGACTTAAGCGGATTTCTATATTGTTTTGCTCGTTTTACCATTGTGGGCGTGACAGTTTGTCATACAATACCTGGCACGACTTTAAGTGGCGCTTTATGCATGCAATGATTGTCATTAAGTGTGTATGTGTGTGTGTGTATATGTGCACCGGTTTGTGTTTGTGTGTGCGACATGGCAATTGACAGGCCATTGTCTCTCTGCTTGTGTGTGTGTGAGCATTTTAATTGAATTCTGTGCACAGAACATTTATTAACAATAATTGCATTTCATATGCCAAAAACCAGACTGTCCACAAGTGTCCAGGACTAATTTATCAATAAACTGTACGAGGCGGCACACATGTACAAATTTAAAGCCACACACAGGCACATACCTACACACGCATACACACATGTTTAAGCAAAAAGTTTGCAAAAATAATGAAGCATAGCTTGAGGCGCACAAACAAAACGTTGCACGCACGCAAATTGCAAACAAGCAAAGCAAACAAGCCGACAACAACAACAACAACGACACCCACCTGACCACAAAAAATAACCAAGCAGACCATTTTTGGCTATACCTTCCTCTGATCTCTCTCTCTATTTCTTGCCGTCTCTGTCTCGCTGGGCTGCTGCAGGCCAAAAATAAGCGCAAAGTCACGCAACTGTAGAGTTTTGCATAAAATGCTGCCCAAAAGTAAAGGCAACCCTCTTTGCGGACACACACACACATTTGCATCACACACACACACACACACACTCGGCCACTGCCCACATTTTGACTGATCAACCAAGTCGAGCATTTTTGTTGAATTTGTTTGCCCGCCGCCGTCCCGCCGCCTGCGGCTCTATTGTCTGGCTGCTGGGCGTGTCCGAGCGCTTGTTGTACCCAAAGGATTACCTGGACTTGTGCTTGTTCCTGTCACACAGTCAGTGTCAGATGCTGCTCTTACCGTTGACCCCGCCCCCTTTTTGTAGCTGCTGGTGTCACGCACTTGCGAGCTCGTTGGCTCATCAATGCGACTGTTGCACCTTACTGCAACCCATCTCAGCTCACCTGCCGGCGGCCCTTTGTTAAAAATGCAATTGCCTGATGCTTGCTTTGTGCCTGACCAACAGCAGCTGCCCCAGCTGCCACAGCTGCACAAGCTGCTGCTGTTGCTGCTGCATAAAGTCAGGTAACTCTTTTACATTTCGATTTGATTTTGTAGCTAGACTTTAGCTCTGCTCAACTGCAGCAAAACTTTACAAAACTTGTGCGCTCTCTCTTTCTGTATATATTGCATCTATTGAATATCGCCTCCGCCCCACCACCACCAACGACACACAAACACACACACACACACACACTACCTAGCCACCGTTGGCTATTGCTCTTTTATTGATTTGACTTTTGGTAGTGGCTTTTTCAGTTATTTATTTATGCATGGAGCTGCAGCTGCTCTTAACTCACATTCTCGAGTGTTTCAACGCATTTTTATGGCAAAAGTTGTAGCTGGAGCAAAAGTTTTGTGCCCCTAACACTCCGCTTCTTCTCCAGCAATCTCTCGAGAAATAATCAATTTTTGTTTAGCTTTCTCGCATAATCAAATTCTGTTTCTATTGCTTATGTTGGCAATCTTTATTTGTTGTTGCTGTTGTTGTGGCCATTTAATTTGCATATTGCATAATCTGTGAATTTACTTTTTCTTGAAATGCAATTAAGCTTGAGTAACATTTGACATTTCACTTTTAATTATCATTGCAGGTAAGCCAAGAAGCCATTATCAGCTCGAAACACAGGTTTGAATGTATCTTTATTTAAAACTGTTTGTTCTGACTTACTGACTGATTGATTGACTGATTGATAACTGATTGGCACAGCCCAAGTCGCCTACAAAGCACGAAGCTGCATTTTTATATAATATAAGGAAAGTTCACCAGAAAATGTGGAAAATGGAAAACGGTTGCATACAGCTTTTTTATTTTAAATAGGATGAGCTTCAAAGTCAATTTCAAAGATCTTTATAACATTCGTTTCAGACGTGTTTTACAATTTTCGGTAAACTGAACGTCCTTCTTGCCTCCTAGCTGATAAATGGACGTCAAATGTTGCTAGAACGAAAGTTTAATATTTGGCCTTAAGCTCAATTTTAAAGCTTTACATGAATGGAACTTACTTGAATGGAACTTCTTGTAATTCATTCGATAAACCTTAAGCCAATTGAACAATATTCTTCACATTTTAAATACAAGTAATCTTAACATTTCGAAGCGAGCAGCATGGCCCGTGCAATGCCGAATGCCTATATACAAGCCGAAACTTGATGATCTAACTTTCAAGTTGACTCGCCCAGTAATTTACACTAATTCAGCCATCAGGCACTGGAGTAAAGCTGAAAATGTCAAGTACAAGTCGTAAGATCATAAATCTTGCCGCCGCGCACAACAACAACAATACATACAGCAAATGCCTTTGCACGCGTCATAATTTAACACAGCAGCTATGTGCCAGGACATGCCAGAGGATTCTTGTTATTGTTGTTGTTGCTGCTGCTGTTGTGAGCGTAAAATATAAATGTCCAATTTGCGCAGCGTCTGTGCAACTTTGGCGCCAAATGATTAACTTGATTTATGCGTGCGGCGACAAAAACTTTCACACCGAACAGCTCCAAGGTACACATGCCACGCCCAATTGCCAGGTGTTGTTTCCTAGGTTTTTGGGTTGCAAAGTCAACAAAATATATGTAGTATATATATGCTTATATGTACATATATATCGTGTGTATATATTTACGCCGCATAAAAAACACATTCGCACACTTGCAATCATTTACGGCAACGGGGCGTTAATTTCCTCTTGCCACTAACGTGCCCTTCTATTGCTACACTTTAAGTCAAGTTCTAACCCCACACAACCCAACCGTCCACCGACAATGTTTTTGTGTGTGTGCAAAAAAGAACTGGAAAGAATGGTTATTTGTAGCACGCAGGGAAGATTAAATACTCTTATCAGCTATATAGCCGATTATATATTAGTGGCTCGATTGGGTTCCGCCTGGCAGATATGTAAAGGTTGAGTTTAGTAGTTGTTGAGTTTGGTTAAGGTATCCTGAAATAAAAGTTTGTGATTAAAATTACTATTTCTTACTGGTTTTCTAATGAAGTTTGGACAACACATCTTTATTGTTACAACGCTTTCATATAGCAGCTATATGATTTAGTAGTTCTATGCTTCCGAGATATATAACGCAAGTACTTACCTAATTAGACAAATTACAGAGTTCTCTCGAAATATGGGTTACATATTTCGTCAAAAAATTGAAAGAACCACTGTATGGGTATTCAAAAACTACGCATAATTCGTCTAACAAGCGCCATTAGTAGCTTTCCCCCCAGCACAGGACTCGACAGCTGGCCAGGTTCTCATCGGTCGCAGTGGCCTCATTTGTTTTAATGTGTCAATTTGTTGACATTGTCCCAACTGTCTACATACATATATATATACATAAGTATATGTGTGTGTGTGTGTGTATGTTTGGGCTTGTTGCGCATACGCCATGTTGCCGGACAGGCAAAGCGGCTGCTCTGCTCGGTCAGGTTAGGCAAACGCACACACCTGTAATCTGTCAGTTGGCACCTTTAATACACGTTTAATGCCAGCTGCCTGCTTGGGTGCTAGGGGCCAATTTTCGGCCACTTTGATTTAACATATTGTTTATAAACTTTGAAAAGCATATTTTTTACGCTTTTGTTCCTCCCCGTCGTGTTGCCTTTTTTTTTGCCTTAGTTGACGCCAGCGGCGGCTGTTTTGTGGATTTTATCGCGTTTCGCTTGTGGCAAACATCGCTTCCGCCCCGTTGCTGCTGTGGCAACAGTTTTATGGCTGGCAAAAGTTGTTGGCCATTTTGACATATTTCACGCTCTGCTCTTATGCTTCCTGCTAACCGAACCAGGCTCAAATTTAGGCCTGCTGTTTGGTTTTTATATTTATTTTTTGTTCTTTGTTTTATTTTTTTTTTTTTTTTTTTTTTTTGCTCCGCTCATAAAAATTGGTTTTCGCTGGCGCTTTGTATCTATGGTCTTGGATTGCCGCTCTGGGTCTGTGTTATTAGCCACAGTTTCTTATGCATTTTTTTTATTAATTGTATTTACAAGTTTGGGGCTTGCTCTTTTTAATCCCGCGATGTGCTGCTTCTTATCGATCAAAGCGATCATTGTCAGGATCTAATTTTGTGTTGCCACTTTTATTAAAAGCCACTTATGGCCACAACCTTTCGGCCCCATTTACGGCTCAGATTGTTCCGCATGTATATAAACCATTAAATTTTTGTTTATTAGGTGCAAAATGAAATTGCCTCATTGGACAGCTTTTTTGAGTTTTGAGTCTGTGATGAATTGTTGGAACATAAATTGCGTCATTTACCGTTTACAAGCTTAGGTACACTCGCGTTGCCATTGTCACAGCTGTGCTAAGCTGGCACAACATACTACTTTGATACCCTATAAATATGCTTCTAGTGCCATATTTGATATGAGCAGAAAGCGGAAAGGCTTTCATGTTTTATTTTATTTAAAACATCTTACGCACTTTTAAACTATCTTTATTGTGCATCCTTATAAAAGAACAAAAAGATATATTTTAATATACTTATTGCTGAGATTGCAAAAAATCGATATGATTGCTGAAGATAATATTCTTGAGAGATTATATTTTTCTATATATATTTTCTAAGAATTTTGTTAAAAGTCTTGCCAACATGCATTTGTTGAAACTGTGGACAATCATATAAGTATATTCGGTTGGGAATAATTTTCTTTAAGAATTTAATTGAGTTTATGGTGTAGGAACTTTTCTAGCTACACAAATTTGCTAGTCTTGCTGCCCTAATACATCTTAATTTAATAGTTGCATGTTCCTCAACCTAATGAAGTATTTAATGCATTTAAATTACATACCTTTAAATGATAAAGCTGCTAGGATATTAAAACTATGTAAATGCAGCTTATTTGCCTAAGTGAATGTGTGAGTGTGTGGTTGACTAGCATTTAGCAGCACGTGAGTTTCATAAAATAGGTTTTGTTTGCCGGCTGCATTACAAAATGCTTCCCCTATTTGGTTAGTTTTCGGGCAGGTGTGCGGGGTGTGCTTAATTGAGTTGCAAACGCCAAAGCGAAACGGTATAAAAAGCTAATTGCTGGCCATTGTTGTTAACGTAATGTTACGTAACGCAAAGCAATGCTCATTTCGTTGCGCAACACTTAACACTAAAATGTTGAACAGTCCCAAAACTAAGTAGAGGGCGTGGCACATGTGTAGTTCACGGTGATCATCGACGGGCGCTGCAACACCTGTTAGCATTCATTAAAACATTAGAGAGAGCACTAACTGCCTCGCTCTGCCGCCATCTCTCCCTCTCTTTCTCCCTTCAATGTGTCTGGCATCCTAGTTTAGTGTCGCTCTCTGGCAACCTATTCACCTCACGCCCCCGCCTTAATTTCATTGTCGCGCCCACATTTGCTGACATGGCCGCCTGCTGGCTCTCAGCTCGCAACAATTTTTATTTTCTTTCGTGTTTGTTATTCTTTTTTTTATTTTAGTGTTTTATTTTTTCATCCTGTGCCACGTGGAACGTTTCAGCATCGTAAAAAATTCGTCTGTGCTCACACTTGAGTCACACCGACCGGGAAAACTGGCAACACCCGCTTCCCGCTTGCCCCAGCCCCACCATGAGCTGTGAGTCCGCCTCAGTTTGTTTAGTTTTTTGCGGTTATCCGGCGTTTACATTGTCTAAACGCCCGGGCACGGCCAACAAGCGCATGGGATCTCATTTGGCAGCAGAAGTCTCCCCTCTCACCGTCACTCCACACCACACACCATAGGTAGCTCACTCAGCAGCCCCCACCTATGCCACCCACTCAGCAACTTTTTGTAGCGCGTTTTTTTATGGCATTTTGTTGAGCTGCGCCAGCTACACTCTCCCCGCCCATAGGTGTTTATACACCCACACACACACACACAGACACACTCACACACACTCACTTACATGTCGAGCAGTACTTGGTGTATGTGTTTCGGTCTACCCCCCGTTGTACATTTAATGGCGTTGATATGGTTTTATGACCTTTGTGGCCTGTTACACATACGCCCCGAAAATTGCATTGTTCGCCTTTTTTTCGTTTCGTTCCATTTTTGTTTTTATTACATTTATTTTATGTTTTTTATGATTTTGTGCTTTTGTTTCTTATGTTTAATTTTCGTTCTGCGCCCACGAAGGACCCATCAATTCTAAGTTGATTTTCTTGTACGCAACATGCGCGTCGAGGAAGGGCGCTGCGAAATGATACCGCATTGATTTGAGACGCGGAAAGCTTCTCAAATGTGTTCGTTGCACATTTGAGTTTGTTTAGTTCACTCGGATATTTAACATTTCAACGGTTTTATGCAGTTGAGTGCAGCACATTTGCCAACTCTGTCAACCCCAAACGCAATCACCCCTCCACACAGTCGCCTGCCTCGAGTATTATTTCTAAAAAACAACGCCCGCCTTTCGCATTTGCGTTCTGGCTGAAGTGCAAAGCATTTGTAAATAAAAATGCAATTTGATTTCGTTTTGTTGTGCTGTGTTCAATGCTGTGCAGTGCTGTGCTGTATTGGGTTTTGTTTGTCGTCGTATTTCAAATGTGACAAATTGAGTGCCCCAAAGCCTGGACAAACAACACCTGCATGGTATAGGTGTGTCTGTGTGTGTGTGTGTGCCTGGCGCGCAAAATTTGTTTGCATTTTTATAAGCATCGTCGGGTTATTGATGCCAGACAAGTGGGCGCACCCACCCCGCACCCACCTCCATGCAAAAACGTATAACCGCAAACAGTAAACAGACACACACACACACATACGGCCAAACTCAACAAGAGCTTTGAATTTTAATCCACTCTTCAGAATGACACTCACGATATTTTCATCAACTGGGTTTTCACTGTATTTTCAAAGTGTTTCAAAATACAAAATTTAAATGCGAGTTGATGTTCGCACAATTTACGTATTAGTTAACAAGCATTTATGACACACAAAATAATGCTGACTATGTTCATTTATCTTACAAATCAACGACAATTTGTGGTCTTACATGTACACATATTTATAAAATTTCCTTTTAAATAATAAACATGTCAATAGATTTAGATCGTGTAATGACTTATATTAAGGAATTAAATGAGTTATTTAACGCGCCCAAGGTCCAAATAGTTGTTATGTTTGGGGCGTTGTTGATTTATGCGAACGTAGCAGACAACTTTATAAGGAAATTGCGTGACTGGTTAACTGAAATGTGAGCGAAGCGCAGTCAAATGAAGTAGAAATAAAAGTTGTAGTTGCAAGTGATAGACCCAAAGACACCCAGACCTAAAAAAAATCGAAAGGAATAAGAAGGAAAAAGAAAAGAATAATTAAATTGTTATTTTTTTAAAGATTGGCGTGGTAAATATTGATGTTTAATTCTTATTGAATTATTAAACCTTTATTTAACTTAATTAACTTTAATTGTTAATTTAAAATATACTATGAAGGCCAAATCCAAGAAACTGTAAGCATAAATTGTGGTTATCGATAGTGTATTATCTAATGTATCGCCAATATATAAATAACTAAGCAGCTCTGCCACAAGACACTGTATACCCAAAGCGCACCTAGACAGT